TATAATAAAAAAGATAATATTATCATATTGTTCATATAAAAATTTCGTTATTTTCGTTTTATACAACTTATGTATGAATATTAAATGTAAAAGCAATATTATGCATTAACAAGCTTGAATCAAAAATTGTTAATATAATCGATCAATGTCTAGTAAGATTATAAAAAAAGCTAATAAGTAGAATGTATGTTTCTAATTAGAACCGACTTTTTTTTATATCTTTCTATTTTTACTCTCATATCTAGGTAAAATATTGAACAAATCAACTTCAATTTATTGATCAAGTCGGCATATGTCTTGTCTATTGATTCATAAAAAAATTTCCACAAATGACTGAGAAATAATCTAGTCGTAAGTAATAGAATGAAATTGACTGATGGTGTTCTGGATAGGTGCAATAACCTCCATGAGAACTCCAATACAAAAGTTGCACTAAATTAGAATGCATCAATGCAAATGCATAGAAGAATATTATTCTATACATTTGCATTGATGCGTTTTAAATCGGTGTAACTTTGTCGTTGGAGTTCTTATTAAGAACATCGCACCTATTCAAAACGTTATCAATCAATTTCATTCGATTACTTACGACTGGATTATTTCTCAGTCATTTGTAGAAATTCTTTTATGAATAAATAGATAAGACATGTGCTGACTTGGTCAGTAAATTGGAATTGATTTTGTTTGATGTTTAACCGAGATACTTGAGTAAAAACAGAAAAATGTTAAAAGTTCGTTCTAATTACGAGAATACACTCTAATAATTGGCTAAATATTAAATAAATAATATAAGATTTAAGTCATTAGCTGAAGAAAAATTTGTTTATTATTGAAAATATCTTTTGCATGTTTCTCCAAAACATATAAACAAATAGTTCAAAATGAAGAATTTTCATTTCATTCAAATTGATTTAATAGTCATCTGATACATTTTTAATAATATATAAGAAAATATATATAATATGTTTAGTGTCTAATGTTTAATTTCGAATCTAACAAAATATTCTTGATCTAAATTATACATGTAAACATTAAGGATAGACTATGACTTTCTTCTGCTGCAATTAGAATATATTATATGCTAGAAACTATAATGATAATAAATCTAAATAGTTAATCATTTTAGTATTGATTGAATTCAGATTAACCATAGTCTAACATCGGATGCGAATTCATATCGAATCAACTAATTATCAATAGAATTTCTATGTTAAAATGAAACGAACAAGAAGACAAATGGAACAAAAAAATAGTCGATTAATTGTTATAAGAAAAGAGAGATAAAACAATATGATCTAAAGTATAATGAAAAGAATTTTACCTATTATCAAATAAAAAAATGCGTGTATAGCGTTTGAGAGATAATTTTCAGTTGTCATCAAGAAGAATGATAAGAACATAAATCAAAACGAACTTTATGAAAAAATCTGTATTGATATACATAGAATAAATTTTAAAAACTAGTCAGTTTAAATGCTGAACTTCGTATCCAATCAATAAAACATAATTGTAGTCTTTTGAATGGCAAAACATCAACTTCCTTGCAAAAAAAAAATAGTGTTTCATGTTTTCGAAACTCGAAATGTTGTATTCTCATTGCCTTTTTAACTAACTAGTTTTAAAAACTTATTCTATGTGCATCGATACGAATTCATTCATCAAATTCGTTCTTACTATTCTTCTTGATAGCAACTGAAAATTATCTCTCCAACGCTATACATGCATATGTTACTTGATAACAGGTAAAATTTCTTTCATGATACTAACAATAACACTTAACAGTGATATTTGCTTACCTTATCTGTATTAAAAAAAGAAAAACTTCAAATTAACTTCTACTATTAACAAAAAAAAATTTGTCAATTAAATTAGATGGATGCAGAGGTATTTCATTTTTTTTATTGTAATGCTATTTTTTTATGATCCACTCTGTCATATTTTCAATGATTCGACATGATCGTAGTATTTCAATGTACGACTATGACTACGTCTCGATCTGTATATCACCGTGCTTGTACATGTCTTGATGAATGAGTACAGAGATGATTTGTTTCTCCTCATCCGTAGTAAATAGCGCAAAAAAGATTTTTTTTTAATGAAATAATACTTACTGTTGATTGAAATGATTTAAAGATCTATATAAAAGACAAAAGAAAAGTTATCTTCGTAAAAGAATACTCACTGCTCACTTTAACTATTAGACAAACTGAAGATAAGAAAAAAAAAATTTACTCTTTATAAAACAATATCGTCTTTTCATTAACATGATCAGATGACCTAAGTAGAAGAAAAAAAGTTACTGTCATAAAACAATACTCACATGCTCATGTGGCATGTTTATTCGTAGTACCATCGGTATATCGCGGTACTCGTAAGAATCAGTCATGACACTTAGCATTTTCAGTTCTAACTATAAACGATTGTAGAGTATTTTCTACTCATATTCAAATTTATTATTAAAAAGAATACAAATTCATCGAGAAAAAAGTTTCATAATATATTTTACTAATAAAAGTGTTTGCAACACCATCTATAATACAAAAATTGGTTTCAGAATTAGAGCCATAGATGCAGAATCTACCCGTGTGCGTCACCACGCGGTTGGGGAAATTTTTCGCGTCTGGGGAAATTTTTGGGAAATTGTCAAGTATCGGAAAATTTTGCGAAAGACGATTTTTCCGGCAGGGAAAAGTCACAAACTCATTAAACGCAGTCTCTAATTTGCTTTGCTCTTCCTTTGACTATTCATTTATAATGACCCTCTTACTTCTTTGTTTTTTTTTCTTTCTTTATATTCGTTCGCTCTACTCGTCTTTCTTTTTCTATCCTGTGCCTATCGCTTTTTGTCTGGATCTCCGTCGTGCTTTTCAGATCACAACATTCATTCGACATAGAATTGTTAAAATGTTTTCGAGCAGAGAACAAGGGATATATTTTTAGTGAAATAGCTCGCTTGGACATCTGTTTGCTACGTATGAATATGCTGGAATAAATCAGGATTTCTGACTTTTTGAGCTGGGGAAATTTTTCAGAAAGTTTTTACCGGTCGAGGAAATTTTTCATTTTTACAGTAGATTCTTCAGCTCTGATTAGAGCTAGTACAGGCGGTTCACATGCATCAACAATAACTGCACTGCATCGAAATCGATTCACTTCTGTCAGTTTTAATAGACTTCGAAAATATAGGGAGGCCCACAAAAAATTATTTTTATCCCGTTTTACTTTTCGCCCGAAGCCTCAATTCCTTTTACTCCCTTTAATCGTTTTAGTTCCTTTACTCTTTTTAGTTCCTCTACTCTCTTTAGTTCTTTTGCTCCCTTTACTCCCTTTAGTTCCTTTAATCCCTTCACTTGCTTTAGTCCCTCTACCCCTTTACTTCCTTTACTCTCTTAATCCCTTTACTCTCTTAATTCCTTTACTCTCTTAATCCCTTTACTCCCTTTACTCCACTTGGTTTCTTTGAAAAGAACTAAATGGAGTAAAGGGATTAAAGGAAGTAAAGGAATTAAAGGGATTAAAGGAAGTAAAGGAAGTAAAGGAATTAAAGGGAGTAAAGGAAGTAAAAGGATTAAAGGGAGGAAAGGGGCTAAAGGAAGTAAAGGGACTAGAGGTAGTAAAAGAAGTAATGAAGTAAAAGGACTAAATGTAGTAAAAGAAATACAGGGACTAAAGAGAGTAAAGGAACTATAGGGAATACAATATGTGTAAGTCAGTATAGCTACTAAGCGAAAAGTAAAACGGGATAAAATTAATTTCTCGTAGACCTATGAAAATATACATTCGTTTTGATACAATACACCATGATATACCATTCAAAAAAAAACTCGCCACTATAGCATACATAATACCGATCGATATACAGTGGTCTATCGTCGACTTTTATTCGCTTGGATGTTAAGTTTGACGATCAGATGATCTAAATAAAAAAGAAGCTTTTTTTGAATAAAATGATACGTACTAACTGTTTATTGAAATGACCAAATAGTATAAATAGAAGAAAGAAAATATTTATTTTATATAATAATACTTACACACTAAAATAAAATATGTCGCAACGAATACTTCGTGTCATACTTCAATGTGTCGCAAAGTACGACATATTGTATTTGAGTATGTACTGTTTAAGTTTGTTGAAGAATCACGATTATAATCGTCAAAACTGATAGGATTTTTGATCACATGGAGTATAAACCTGCGGTTTTTTATCATTCGAAAGAGAAATATAAGGAAAGTAATACTCTGTTGAATTGTCTGGACTATGTATTGGTCAAGCGAGTGAGTTTTTGCTGTAGACTTTGACCAGAAGTTTTCTCAACTAAAAATCAATTCCAGTTTAGAGAAACAATAGTGAAGACGTTTCTCTGTGGATCAACGCAAGGTCGACTCTTCTGGCTTATTTCCTTAAGGGATTATAAGTGTTTTATTGAAAACCTTGAAATCAATTAATAGATCACTGGTTACTGTATTGGAAAATTTCTGGTCAGAATCTACAGCAAAAACTCACCTGCTTGACCAATACATAGTCCAGATAATTTAGCAAAGTTTCACTTTCTTCACATCTCGCTTTCGAATGGCAAAGCTGCAGGCCTGTAGCTAATTTTGTTCTCAAGATATTCAAAAAAATATCGAAGTATATTTTGTTTTGATCCTAAACAATGGTTTTTCTTTGAACATTTAAATATAAAAATATTCTACAAAAATAACTAAACATAAGAATTGTTCGTCATGGCCTAGTCTCTCAGTTTTAAATGTTGTTTCTAATCTCTATTTAAATACGAATATATCTTGCATCAATCTTGATCTTATTTTAATATAGACTATTAATATATTTTCAAAGATAATAAAATATAAATTTGATAGACACAAGAGCTATTTGACTCATAATTATGACTCATTTCTCACATGCAACGTCTTCTATTCTTATCTATCTTCATGCATAAATACACTGGTTTTTCTTATTTCATTTAAAAAAAAAATAAATCCGAAATTTTCATGTGACCATGGCTGCATCATCATCTTGTTCAATTGATCAACTTAAAATTGTTTTAGTTGGTGATAGTGCAACAGGTAAACATTGTTATGTCAGAAGACTTACACATAATATATTCCCTAATGATACTCGAACAAATGTAAGTCATGTTTTTTTTTTCATCATCTCATCAAAATTCCTATTCAACATAATTATATTTATTATAGAAAGAATATGATATTATTTCAACCAAAATAAAAATTGATGAATATACTGAAATTCCAATAGAAATTTTTGTAAAAAAAAAAAAGAGAGAAAATTTTCATTTTTTTTTAATAAAAATAATTCTATTTAGAATATATCTGGTTCACAATGTGATAAAACAAAACTAAAAACATATTTTAATAATATCGATGGATATATTATTATGTTTGATATAACTCGTAGAGAAACATATGATAATATAATAAATTGGAAAAATTCTATTGATAATGTAAATCAAACAGATAATTTACCATGTTTATTATTAGCAAATAAAGTTTGTTTAATAAAGAATGTATTATTTTCTTTTGTTTTTCTAAATATATATTTTTCTTTTCAAGTGTGATTTAGAAGATGATCAAATATTAAATCCTATTATGAATAATTATTGTCAAATAAATGATTTTTGTGGTTATTATAAAATATCAACTAAGAATAATATTAATATTGAACAATCGATTCAAACTTTAATTAATGAAGTATAGATATATTGAAGATTGATATATTAGCATTTTTTTTTAATTTGAGTTTTATAGATTATTCAACGTAGAAATTTATTGACAAGAACTTCTCCTTCGATGTCTATATCTCGAAATAGAACAATATCAATTGAAGAACAAAAACAAGAATATACATTAAAAATTATAGTTATTGGTGAAAGAGCAACTGGTAAAACAGCAATTATACAACGTTATGTTAATAATACTTTTGCAGGAATTTATCATAGTACAGTATGTTATTTTTTTTTTGTTTTTGTTTTAATAAGAATATTAATTAATCAATAAAATATTCTAGATTGGTACGGATTTAGCTGTTAAAAAAATTCAATATAATGATCATATTATTGTTAATCTTCATATATGGGTTTTGTAAAAAGTTTTTGTTTTTTTTTTGTTTTCAAAATGAATATTATTTTAATAGGATATTGCTGGTGATGAACGATTTGGAACTATGACACATCTTTTTTATAAAGATGCAGCTGGATGTTTAATTGTATTTGATGTATCAAAATCAGCGACGTTAATAAATGGTGCAGTGAAATGGAAAATTGATTTTGATAACAAAGTTAATATTGATAATAATAATCAAGTGCCATGTTTACTAATTGGAAATAAAGTAGAAATTTCTTCTTTTTTTCTTTGACATTAGATAAATTGAATGAAATTTTTTTTTTTTAATATTTTAGTGTGATCTAGTCAAAGATGGAATTGTAGTAAGTGAAACACATATGACAGAATTCTGTCGTAAACATAAATTTATGCGTTGGTATGAAACATCTGCAAGAGAAAATATTAATATTGAAGAATCAATTTTATTTCTTGTTAAAGAAGTAAGAAAAAAAAAGCTTTTATTCTTTTTTCAAGACTTTTTTTTTATTAATATTTCTAGATAATGAAAAATATTGATACTATGAAAGGTATAAGAAGAAGACTTTCTGAAGTAATTGAAATTACACAACAAACTTCATCCACAAAACCTAATATTAGTTATTGTTGTCAATTTTAATTTCTGATTTTGTTTTTAAAAAATAATTATTATTTGTAAATAAATATTTACTTTTTTTTTATTACTCAATAAATTTTTGATTTGTACAATTAGAAAATATTTATTGAAATAATTGATCACAATAGAACGAAAAAAAATGATTGGAATAACTAAATTATAACTTATGAAACAGATAAAATGAGTAATAATTGTAAAATCTATATTAATATTGAATTTAAATCTACAATAATGACCGGTGTATTATCACTGCTAACTTTTCTAAGCATATAAGATGTTTCATAAATTCTGAATCTCAACGAAAAATTAATTTATATACAGACAGAAAATGATCTCGAACTAAATGCATCTATATGAGATTTAAGTATTTGTGTTGACATTTCATCAAATGGCATTTTCTAGTGTGGTAAATTTGTTTGAGACTTGTCATGAGTGACTGACACAAAATATTGTATAGAATGAAAAATTTTCATTTTATAGTATTCATATCTTTCTTTTATTTTAAAGAAAAAAAATACGAAGACAATTTTCAAGTTTTATACAATTGAATACAGAACGAAGAAATATCATTTTGTAATGATCGTGAAAGAATAATTGATAAAATTTCTAAAAGATTTGGTGAAGTAATAATAAGTAGTAGATTACATGATAGTTAATTGACATTTTTCGTGTAATCAAATATTGTATTTTTCTTTCTTTTTTAATACAAAAAATTGAACATTGTACTTTTTCTATTTATATCACTATTCTTACAAAGAAAGATGTTATTCAATATTATATGATTCAAATCCTTTTATAGATAAATTCAGTTAGAGATCATTCCTTGTCTGCATATAAATTAATTTTTGTCGAGATGCAGAACTTATAAAACATCCTATAAATAGATCTAAATAAATATGAGTGGGGGCAATCTTTTTTGCGGAACCGGAATCATCTGTCCCATATATATATTTAGAACACATAAGTCGTAACAATACGACATTCGACATAAGTTTAATTCGATCGTAAAAAATATCGCTCATATTGAAAAAGTGTTTGTCCTAATCTCAGTTCCGAAAGCATCTTGTCCATATTTAGATCTAAATAATGGAAAATAAATCGATCATCACCATAGAGTAGTTTAGAGGTTATATTATTCAACACTTATTATATAGAATCATGTTGAAATTCGATCTTAGCAAATTGTTTAATAATTGTGAAGATATTATCTAATTATTCTATGCTAAAAATTATTCAGTTACAATACTGTCATTGACTTAGTGTACGAAAGTTTCTCTTGACAAAATATTTGATTATTTTTCGCGTATTTAAATAGAAAAAAAAGACTCAAAAAATTTTTATTTGTAAGGAAAAAATCTAAAATGGAACTTATTCCAGACATGCCAGAAGAGTATATTAGAAAATAACTCTCTACAAAGTGGTAGATTATTTTTGCAAATTGTTGAGGTGCAGTAAAGACTTTTATAAAATTTATAACCTATCATACATTTACTCTCAAAGAAAAAGAACTTATAAAGCAAAATACAATTTCTTTAGACAAATATACATAGATGTTTTTTTTTTCATTCAATAGTTGACTGTTCAAAATTGAACTGATTTTATCAATTTTTTATTGTTATTTTTTCTTTTCAAATAATATCATTGTATTATTAGGGAAAAATAATAACGATTAATGTTTTTTATTTCTACATGTTGCACATAATTCAAGTAATAAATTATTAATTTTTTTTGTTTGTCTATATTTATTTAATGAACAATTAAATATGGTTTGAAATTGTTCATTTTCTTGTAATATTTGGTTAATATATAATTCAATAAAATTTTTTTGTTTATTCATTAATGAAATCATATCATGATTAATATGTATACATTCGGATTGAACATATGTAATAAAAAATTTTTTTATATCATTCGATGTTAATGTTCTATTTAATTGTTGTTCATTATAATTCATAATTAAATGAAGTGATATTAAATCAGCAAAATATTCACGTTCAGTTTGATTTATTCCACATGGACATAAGGCATGACCAAGTTCATGTGCAATAAGTAAAAGTGCAGCTAAACGTGTTGTTTCATTTGAATAAAGTTCAGCTACTGTTGGTTGTAAAAAAATACCTTGTTCAATTGTATGATAACCATTAATTTCAAAAAATGTATGAATTGGTTGAATTAATTCTTCATGAAAATTTTCAATTATATTCCATGCTGTTGATAAATAATTATCTTCAATTAAATAATATTCATATGGAATATGAAATTTTATTGATGAAATTTCATGATATAATTTAAGATATTCAGGTTTTATATGAAATTTTATAGATAATACAAAATCATTATCAGAATTATTTATAAGAAGATTACGAAGTTCATTAGTTATTAAATAAAGTTGTTCAATTTTATTTGACATATATTTTTCATAAAATGATGATAATGTATATGGATAATAATATTCAAGTAAAGTTAGACAATCATTTGGTATACGATTTGATGGTAAAAGTAATGCATGAATATCTTTAATAGACAAAAAAAAAACAAACAAAGAAAATATTCGATTAATTATGAATGAAATTAGACATATCAGAGAGAAATTTTCCGCATTGTAGACCTGGAAAACTCTATTTTATACAATTTTTGTCAGAAGTTTTGACTATTTCATTGGGTGATTTATTTCAGAGTTTTTTCTCCATGCGAAATTCTCGAAGGAATTTTGACGATTTTTTTTTTCACATGAATGAATATAACTTTTACTGTTGAAAACATTCTCTGATCAAAACTGATCTAGTCAAACAGTTTTTGTTCTATTTTTGAGAAAGTTCCTTCCAACTACAAAAAACACTTTTTGTCTGTTTTGGAGATGGCACTTATATAGGTACAGCTCGTCGAGTCTAAAATTTTCCGAACCTGGACTCAGTCGAATCATACTCGATACTCTCAATGAAATTTTATTGGATAGTCGTCCCGAAGATACGAGATACTTTCTCGTTTTTGTTGACCAGCGTAGCCTACACATTTTTCAGATTACTAGAGCACATCGGGTCCATGTTCGAGATCAACCCAACGTACTCTCTATTACTGAAATGCCGCTCCCAAAACAGATCAATTCCTAGTAGAAGAATTGTTTCAACAGATCTTGTTATGTGATCTAAATTTTGAATGTTATAGCTAGTCGAGCCCTTAATATTGAATCCATTTGACGGAGAAGCATGATTAAAAATCAATCGATTCTATGATTGTTGAGGATTAATGTATAACTTGCTTGATCTTTTTCTTTTTCATAAAAATGAATAGATGATTTTATATTTATGATAGAATAAGAGTAGAATGGAAATAGAAATGCGACAAAAAACAAAATGATTTATCTTACTATATTGTTCTTTTGAATTGTTTTGTAAAGTTTGTTTCCAAAGATTTTTTAAATTAATTTGTATATCTTCATGAAAAATACTAACAAATGGTAATAATTTAGGTCCATATTTATAAACCATTAAATTACAATAATGTGCAAAATGATCAGCAAATAAAAATCGAAATATTGAATCAAGTTGAAAAAAATCTACTAATCGTATTTCAACAGTTATAATTGGTGATGAAATATCTTTTATTTGTTTTTTTGTATATTGAATAAATGTATTCCAATATGAAATTATTTCAAATTGATTATGACGAACTATTGTTGAATATAAACATATATATGATGCATCACCTGGCCATGAATGAAGAATTAAATGTATTATTGATGATGATATATAATCAAACCATTTTTCTAATTTTGTATCATTTAATGATCGAAAACGAATATAATAATTAAGAAATAATTGACATTGATATAATATTGTACTACGAAATATTGGTATATTTAATAAATATTGTTCAAGATCATGAGTAAAATTTAAAAATAAATTATAAATATTTGTATTATTTAATGATTGAATCATATTTTTATCTAACATATATTGAATTAAATCTCGTAAATCATTTGGACATCTTACAGATGAATAAATAATTGGTAAAGAATTTTTATTTGATATTAAATAATATAAATCATCATTTATTGAAGAATTTGATGATATTAATGTTGATATTAATAATTCATTATATTCTTTTAATGTATTTGCTAAAGAACCAACACGAGTTGATTGATAACATAAATCAATATGATTTGTTTGTACATAATGTTCAAATATACTTGCTTGTTCTATTTGATGTAATAAAAGAAATTTTTGTTGATCATGAATTTTTCGTTGAATATGAATTATAATTTGGGTACCAAGATTTATTGTATTTATATTCCATATATGCATTAATGGATGTTCAATCATTTGTTCAAATAGAAAATGCAAATGATTTGTTGTAGAAATAATTTCATAATTATTTGTAAACCAAAAACGATCATATGCTAATCGTTGTAATTTTTCAATAAGAATAGATTCAGATGTATGAATACATTGATGATAATAAAGTAACATATTAGATATAGATTTAGATAAATCATTTGAATTTAAAGTTGATTGACGTTTAACTAATTTATGATTTATATTGTCATATTCATCATGAAAAGAATAGAATTGTTCAAGTCTACAAGATACAAAAACAAAGAAAGAAACATTTCAATTTGTCAGTGATTCTAACTAGTAAAGTGTATAATAAATCTATAATAACGATCATTATCCGTATTATAAATCTTATATAAATCAATTGGACATTTAAAAATTTAAATCTCAAGCACCTATAAATAGTCAACTAGTTTCATCAAACATCTTAAGAAATACATTTGAACTTACTCATTTTTTTCTGATGTTAATTCATCAAAATCTTCAATATGTGTATCGTTGATGAGTTCTTGAATTTGATTTTTATTAATTTTCATTTGATAATTATAAGCTTCAATTTCACTTAAATTAGTTAATATTTCTGCAAAATTTTCTCGAATATTATTTGATCTTTCAGTTAACCAACTTCGTTTAAATTCAAATGATGATAATGGATGATTTGATAACCAT